GATGCCGTAATGTATGGACAGAATGTGAGGACAACCCATGAAAACAGAGCTCACATTATGAATGGTTTAGTGTTTCACTCAAAATGTTTTGTCTATTCATTTGAAATACATTTTTGGCGAAACAATAACTTTTTTATTGTTATACTTTTTAATACAATCTTCTAATGAAAACACACTATAATTATTATATTGTTATTTAGGATAAAAATACTGAATAATACAATGCATTCACTATTAAATCACAGATTAGTTTGCATTTTGTTTGTTATTACTTTGAATGTATGCATAAAATAATATACTCTTTAAAACTTTATATGAATTTTATGGTAATTTAAAACATTTTTCGTAAAGTTTTTCAATAAATTCTTTAAAGTTATATAAGTTTAAGATATGTTTAGAAAAAATAAATTAAAGATATTTTGGTATTCTCTGAAATAGAGATAATAATTAACTTTTTGTATAACAATCACAAGCAATAGATGCGAGGAATCAAATGATTAGCCAATCGGAGTCTTCTTTCACTGACAACTGTCTGTTCACTGAATGATTGATTGTATGCCAAACCAAACCCTTTTCAGTCATTATCCAAATATCATTATTTTCAGTCACTTTACAAAACAAAAAATATATAATTAAATGAATAAAACTTTTTAAATAACAAATATTTAGAGAAATACCCGAAACAGCGATAATAGTGTCGTCAACGGGAACGTCGGGTCCGATCACTGGCTGCCACTCATCGGTGCCGTCATTTGGTATAATTTTGACACTCCTTCTAAACAGTTGATTGTTTTCAACGACAATAATCACATGCGAGTCATAGACTGCGATATCTTTGGCCAAAAGGCCGTCCACGAGAAGCCATTCATCGCCGCGAAAGTCACGCTTATTACTGTCCAACGATTGGCTAAAAGTTCGGACAAAAATCTTGCCGTTTCTGTCGATTCCCCAAACGATTGTCCAATCGGTGACCGAAACGCACACTTTCTTCATTTCCATCGAGTGTGAGCTGTAATCGTTAATCTGTGACCACTTCTGGCTTTGCAAACAATGAGTCCACGTCTCGCCGTTTGTATCGCAACACCACAGAAGAGACTCTTCGGTGTTGACACTAATGGACGCCATCTTTGCTTTGCCTTTATTCCTCTTAATGACAAAACCCTCGTTAATACTCTTAATGAGTGTCCATTTATTTCCCACGGGTTTCGTGGCGTCCATTCCGTCTCTCTTGAAGATAACGCCCGAATCGGTCACAATGTAGAGCTCGTTGGCTGCGCTGGCGATGCCTATGGGCTTCACTTTATTGAGTTTAAACGCTTCCAAAGTCGGGTAATAAATCAATGTATTGCTGTCTTTCGGTAAAAACCAAATGAGACCCACTTCTCGGTTACTGTTATAACCGGTCGCACAAAGAGAGACGAATTCAATGGTTTTAATCTGATTTATATCCAATAAGCAGATAATAGGCTCCCATTTGTGTTCAATTGGTTTCAATTTGATTTCACTGTCATTTACTTTGATTTCTTCGTCATTATTTGCAATTTGCTTAAAGTTTGGATTGTTTTTGTGATCAATTGGAGGCACTTCTCTGTGAATGTCATTTCTTGTCAAATAATTGTCTATCGCTTCAGAGATCTCAGGATTGTCTTCTTTTTCGTCTTCTTGTTCTGTTTGAATGTCTGTATAAATGGTCTCCAAATGTGGATTCGCTTCTTTATATGCACTTAAAATCATTTCCAAACGATTTTCATCAGTCAATTGTTCATCTGTTCCGTCCTTTTGATCGCAATTCTCATCAGGAATGTTGATATTAATGTGGAAATTGTTTTCCAGTGGTTGAGAGTCTTCTGTAATCTTTGCCTCCATTTCATCGGAACCGTTGGTCAGACCCGTCGGACTTGCATTACCTAAAGTACTTTTGACCAGAGAATCGCTGGTAATGTGATGTACTTTACGCCTGACTTTTTGGTTCACCACAAGCGGTGACGTGAGATCTGGTGTTTCTTTTGTGGGACTATTTGTGTCCACAATTTCTTCGTAATCTTGTGTTACGAAAACATTTTTGTCAGAATTTGGCAAAACGTTTGGATCAATGGTTGTGATGATAGAAGTGGACAATTGGTTCACTTTTTCGGTTAATCTCATCTGAATTTTGGTGAAATCAAACACTTTTCGCAACTCGTCCTCAATATATGACAGAGGATTACCATTAATGCCATTGACGGGCGCTCTCAACAAATTGATCAGCGATTCCGTCGATCCCTTCCGACTCTTCTCTTCGCTAGTCTTGCCCTCGGATTCAGAGCTCATCTCTTTATCACTGTTTCCCTCAAACTCTGTAATGTATTGATTGGTAAACACTGTCTGAGTGTTACGGATCCGTAATATATGACACGACTCGAGCAATAGGAAGGCTTCGTTGCTTTCGTCGCCCGCAATCTTAACGTCAATCAATTGATCCACTTTTTCTTTGAGGCAAAACTGACCGTCAGTTCCGATTATAACCAGATTCGAGTCGTTGACTGAGAGGACGTACTGGTCGTCGCAGAACATCTTCAAGAGTCCCAGTTTGAGGTGCGAGTGACCAGTGATTGGCTTTTGGCCAAACTGTGGCACCGGTTCCGGACAGTCCGCCACCGGAATGTGATTCGCTTTAATCGTCTCCAAGACATCGCCGTTGAGTTGAGCTTTGATCAGATGAAGCGATGGTCGGGAGGCGAACACAGTGTTAGTCCGACGGCTATAAACGGCCCCAAATTTGCCGCACGTTTTCCTCTGGTTTTTACCAATTTGTGTCACATTTGATGAATGACTTGCCTCACAGAAATCAATGGTTAAGACCACTGATCGGGAAGTACTCGATATAACGAGTGTCTGGTTGTCGATGAACTCGATCTGAACGATGGGAAAACCCGTGTCCTTAAAGATAATACTCTGTTCGCCGCGAATGAGGTCGTGATGGCGGACACATCCGTCCGAATCGCCGCTCACTAACAGCAGCTTCTGGTCCGAGACTGAGAGGAATGTCTGAACGCAAGTGATGGCCGCTTTTGTGGGACACTTCCAGCCGTAGAGGAACTTCTGGTTCGTGCGGTTCAACACATAAACAGCTGATTGTGTGGCGAATGACAGCAACTCATCGGTAATCAATTGGATGGCAATTATGGCACTCGAGATGAACCGGTATTTCAGGCATTGTCTGGAGTTGAAGACATGTCTGCGGAAACAGTAGACGAGGCCATCGGTGGTGGCGAACACGAAGTAGTGTTGGTTCACATCAAAGCACGTGATGGTAGGCCTGTGTCGGCCACCACTGTGTGTGCCGTCGGGTTGTGTCACACAATGTGTCACACATTTGGTCAGAAAGTCAAAGGTCTCGAAACGGAGCGCATATTCAACACAATTGACTGACAATTCATTTCTCGTTTCCATTGATTGCAATGTATTTATCGTTTGTTTACCAAAAATATTGCCATTAAGTGATGCAATGGTTAGGCGTTCACTACAACACATACAGTACAGTACACTCCAGCTATAGGGCACTAATGCGTTGACAGACAGGCACTGGCATCTCATAGACAGGTGTGTTTGCTATGATAGCATACCTGTGCTCTGATTTCATTACACAGATTATACATGTATTGTTAAATAACTTATTATTTTGTTTATTTGTTAAAACAGTTATTTAATTAATATTTCTAATATGTTTACTCTTTAATTATGTAACTTCTAGAATAATTTATCATGTATTTTATTAAGTCAAATTACCCCTTGGTTTTATTCTAATATTACTGAATTTTTACACTCTTGAAAATTTTATTTGAATTCATCAATAAAATAATAGATTTTGATTTAAAATTAATACATAATAAGTTAATTTACTTTTTATTGGTACAGTATATGTGAAATAAACTACCTAGTCCATTGCGAGATGCTATTGCATAACAACTTACCATGCAAAACTTAACTTGGGTTATTTTAAAGTATATAAGAATCTACAAATATTGTTAAATTAGTAGATCATCAATTTTTAATTTATTCATATAAACCCCTATGTCTTCAAACATTTATACAAAAACAATGCAAACAATACAATGGATTGGATATAAAGTACAGTTATTTTTGAAAACTTTTTTTTGTTATTTATTTAATTAATAGAGTAAATGAGTGAAAGTGAAAATATCTATTAAATGGATCAATAGATGAAAATCAAGTTTGAATATAAGTTATTGGTCCGGATGTCAGGTCCACATCCAAACCTAGTTGTATAGTAACACAAATTGTTTATCAAATTCATAATAAGAGTGAAAGTTTTCAAATATATAAATTCAATCTCAAATTCAATATTGAATTCAAAACACTTTTCCATTTAGTAATAAAAACCATTATTAGAGCTCTAATAATGAGTTCCTCATTAAAAGTTGACAATATTTTCCTTTTAAATAATTAAATGTGTAATAAAGTGTGTAATACACGCCAATTATACTTATTTCTTTTAACGCCAGTTAAATTCGGGGCTGCTTCACCAGCACACTAGCCACCACTCCTGCGCTCAATCGGTGACTTTCCGTGGCAGGTGTCCCTCCTCTTCAAGAGGTAGTTACCATAACAAGGGTAAGGAGTGAAGTTCGTGAATACGCCGCGAAGTTAGTATTTGGTATTGACCGATAACTGACGGCGGGTGACACAGCTGCCCATAGAATATTTACGTTTTATCCATTTCTAGTAATTTATAATGAATTTTTGTATCAAAAATTAACTCATGATAAGAATTGCGAATCAAATACTTCCGATGCAATTACGTGCGGTGATTGGCACCGATCTGTGGAGGAATGCGTTAATACAGTCATCGATACAAGTGCTGTCCATTTCACAGATAATAGTTCACGAAAGTTGGGATCAGAGCTCAGGCAAGAATGACATCGCAATGATTCAAACCAGTCGTCCCATAATGTTCAACGAGAAAGTGAACAGTATTTGTATTCCCGATATTGAGCTCAACATAACTAACAATGTTTTGGTGACGGGTTGGGGCATGACTTCCGACCGCTCATTATTGGGCGGAATATTACCGAATAGATTGAAAAAGTTGGAGATTCCGGTCGTAGATATGGATAGATGTAGGAAAATATACAACGGACAGGACTATGAGATTACCGACAGAATGATATGCGCTGGGTCGTTTAGGAATGGACATTGCATTGTAAGTTATTTTAATAAATGTAAATTAACGCTAAATTAATGAATTGCTTGTTAGGGCGCATATATGGGTGATTCTGGAGGCCCTCTCATCACATACATTGACGGTCGCGCCTATCAAATAGGTTTGGTCTCATTTTCTTTGCCCTGTCGTACATATAGTGCACCCGATGTTTACACTAAAGTCAATACATATTATAAATGGATTGAGAAGATTGTCGGATAATTTATTTGTTTTATATTTATTTATAATTTTTATTATTATATAATTTATTAAAAATATTTGAATAAATTTATTTTTCAACATTTTAATAATTTGATTGCTTATAACTGAAAACATTTATTGTGAACTGAACTGAAAGCAATACAATTTAAAAATATTTGTTATTATACCATTAATTGCTTCGATGGGAGTAATCTATAATCACTAATCAGTTCTAACTTTTTTTAATTAAAAATTTATAACTTTTAGATGTAAACTACCTGGTCGATGATTGACATTACCTTGAGCTTACATTACTAATTATTAGTCTATCATAAAATAGAATTGGGTTATTGGTCCGGATGTTAGGTCCAAATCCAAACCTAGTTGTATAATAACACAAATTTTTTATCAAATTCATAATGTGAAAGTTTTTAATATATAAATTCAAATCTAATATTAAATTCAAAACATTTTACATTTAATAACACAAAAATCTTTAGTAAATCCCTAATAATGAGCTTCTCATTAAAAGTTGAAAACATTTTCCTAAATTTATTAATTTACACATTAGTTCACACATTATGTGCGGTTAATATGAATAAAGAAAATTGCGGTCAATTTAAGCCCCAACGAAGTGGTCGTGTGATCGGTGGTGAGGACGCGTCAATCGGTGACTTTCCGTGGCAGGTGTCCCTCCAGAAGTTCTCCAACAATAGTTTTGTTCCCTTCAAACACTTATGCGGCGCTTCAATCATAAACCATAACTGGCTATTGACTGCCGCCCACTGCGTCGACGGGTATCTTATTCTTAATAATTTTTAATAAAATGTGATTTTCTAATAAATTATGTAATAATAAATTTTTGGCTTTAAAACTAACTCGTGATAAGAAAGAACAAAATACTTGCGATGCAATTACGAGCAGTGATTGGCACTGATTTGTGGAGAGATGTGTTAAGACAAACATCGATACAAGTGCTGTCCATCTCTCAGATAATAGTTCACAAAAGTTATGATCAAAGCTCAGGCAAGAATGACATCGCATTGATTCAAACCAGTCGTCCCATAATATTCAACGATAAAGTAAATAGCATTTGTATCCCAAATATTGAGCTCAACATAACTACCGGTAAAAAGGTTTTGCTGTCGGGTTGGGGCATGACTTCCGACCGCTCATTATTTAGCCTAATATTACCGAATAGATTGAAAAAGTTGGAGATTCCGGTCGTAGATATGGAAAAGTGCAGACAAATATACAATAAACAGAGCTATGAGATAACTGACAAAATGATATGCGCTGGGTCGTTTAAAAATGGCCACTGCTATGTAAGTTATTGTTTTACCGCAATAAATACATGCTAAATGAATCAATTGTTTGTTAGGGCGCATATATCGGTGATTCCGGTGGTCCACTCATTACATACAGTAACGATCGCGCCTATCAAATAGGTTTGGTCTCGTTTTCATTGTTACCTTGTCGTAAATTTAGTGCACCCGATGTTTACACTAAAGTTAGTACATATTATAAATGGATTGAGAAAATTGTCGGATAACTGATTATTTTATTTTAATATAGTTTTTGTTTATTACTAATAAATTGTTACATAATTTATTTAATTCATAACTAATTTAACAAGATATAACTGTAATATATTTTTTGTTTCAATTCATGATTGCATTGTCTTTTATTTTGCTATAAATAATTGAGATTTAAATAGTCCTTCAAATTCTGATGGATATCCAAATCCATAATACTTTCTGGTAATCTGTTTTGTGACCTAAACTGCGCTCGTATTGAATGTCTGGCCATTTGTTTAAGACTCGGAATCTGAGGAATGGAGTCAACGAGCGATTCATTTCTTGAGTAATTAAATTTATTTCTCAACATTTCGATGATTTCATTGCCGATCACTGACAGCCCTTTATACCATTTGCTGCGATGGGAGACATCGATGATCACTAATCTGATCCAATATAACTTTTTGATGAGTACGTCGAGGTTTGCCGTTTCAATAGAGTTACAGATTCGGTGCGTGAAGTGCGGGATCTGATAGTCAGGTGTTGGCATACGAGCGCCAAATTGTAATAATAGTCTCAAAATGTGCGGACTTTCGGGCAAAAGAGTACGAGTGCCATAATTGCCATCCAATTGATTACCGATGAGTTGCTGTCATTCGCCACACAATCAGCTGTTTATGTGTTGAACCGCACGAACCAGAAGTTCCTCTACGGCTGGAAGTGTCCCACAAAAGCTACCATCACTTGCGTTCAGACATTCCTCTCAGTCTCGGACCAGAAGCTGCTGTTAGTGAGCGGCGATTCGGACGGATGTGTCCGCCATCACGACCTCATTCGCGGCGAACAAAGTATTATCTTTAAGGACACGGCTTTTCCCATCGTTCAGATCGAGTTCATCGACAACCAGACACTCGTTATATCGAGTACTTCCCGATCAGTGGTCTTAACCATTGATTTCTGTGATGCAAGTCATTCATCAAATGTGACACAAATTGGTAAAAACCAGAGGAAAACGTGCGGCAAATTTGGGGCCGTTTATAGCCGTCGGACAAACACTGTGTTCGCCTCCCGACCATCGCTTCATCTGATCAAAGCTCAACTCAACGGCGATGTCTTGGAGACGATTAAAGCGAATCACATTCCGGTGGCGGACTGTCCGGAACCGGTGCCACAGTTTGGCCAAAAGCCAATCACTGGTCACTCGCACCTCAAACTGGGACTCTTGAAGATGTTCTGCGACGACCAGTACGTCCTCTCAGTCAACGANCTCTTGAAGATGTTCTGCGACGACCAGTACGTCCTCTCAGTCAACGACTCGAATCTGGTTATAATCGGAACTGACGGTCAGTTTTGCCTCAAAGAAAAAGTGGATCAATTGATTGACGTTAAGATTGTCGGCGACCAAAGCAACGAAGCCTTCCTATTGCTCGAGTCGTGTCATATATTACGGATCCGTAACACTCAGACAGTGTTTACCAATCAATACATTACAGAGTTTGAGGGAAACAGTGATAACGAAATCAGCTCTGAATTTGAGGGCAAGACTAGTGGCGGAGAGAAGAGTCGGAAGGGATCGACGGAATCGTTGATCAGTTTGTTGAGAGCGCCCGTCAATGGCATTAATGGTAATCCTCTGTCATATATTGAGGACGAGTTGCGAAAAGTGTTTGATTTTACCAAAATTCAGATGAGATTAACCGAAAAAGTGAACCAATTGTCCACTTCTATCATCACAACCATTGATCCAAACGTTTTGCCAAATTCTGACAAAAATGTTTTCGTAACACAAGATTACGAAGAAATTGTTGACACAAATAGTCCCACAAAAGAAACACCAGATCTCACGTCACCGCTTGTGGTGAACCAAAAAGTCAGGCGTAAAGTACATCACATTACCAGCGATTCTCTGGTCAGAAGTACTTTAGATAATGCAAGTCCGACGAGTCTGACCAACGGTTCCCATGAAATGGAGGCAAAGATTACAGAAGACTCTCAACCACTGGAAAACAATTTCCACATTAATATCAACATTCGTGACGAGAATTACGATCAAAAGGACGGAACAGATGAACAATTGACTGATGAAAATCGTTTAGAAATGATTTTAAGTGCATATAAAGAAGCGAATCCACATTTGGAGACCATTTATACCGACATTCAAACAGAACAAGAAGACGAAAAAGAAGACAATCCAGAGATCTCTGAATCGATAGACAATTATTTGACAAGAAATGACATTCACAGAGAAGTGCCTCCAATTGATAACAAAAACAATCCAAACTTTAAGCAAATTGCAAACAATGTCGAAGACATCAAAGTAAATGACAGTGAAATCAAATTGAAACCAATTGAACACAAATGGGAGCCTATTATCTGCTTATCGGATATAAATCAGATTAAAACCATTGAATTCGTCTCTCTTTGTGCGACCGGTTATAACAGTGACCGAGAAGTGGGTCTCATTTGGTTTTTACCGAAAGACAGCAATACATTGATTTATTACCCGACTTTGGAAGCGTTTAAACTCAATAAAGTGAAGCCCATATGCATAGCCAGCGCAGCCAACGAGCTCTACATTGTGACCGATTCGGGCGTTATCTTCAAGAGAGACGGAATGGACGCCACGAAACCCGTGGGAAACAAATGGACACTCATTAAGAGTATTAACGAGGGTTTTGTCATTAAGAGGAATAGAGGCAAAGCAAAGATGGCGTCCATTAGTGTCAATACCGAAGAATCGCTTCTGTGGTGTTGCGACACAAACGGCGAGACGTGGACTCATTGTTTGCAAAGCCAGAAGTGGTCACAGATTAACGATTACAGCTCACACTCGATGGAAATGAAGAAAGTGTGCGTTTCGGTCACCGATTGGACAATCGTTTGGGGAATTGACAGAAACGGCAAGATTTTTGTCCGAACTTTTAGCCAATCGTTGGACAGTAATAAGCGTGACTTTCGCGGCGATGAATGGCTTCTCGTGGACGGCCTTTTGGCCAAAGATATTGCAGTCTATGACTCGCATGTGATTATTGTCGTCGAAAACAATCAACTCTTTAGAAGAAGTGTCAAAATTATATCAAATGACGGCACCGATGAGTGGCAGCCAGTGCTCGGACCCGACGTTCCCGTTGACGACACTATTATCGCTGTTTCGGGTATTTCTCTAAATATTTGTTATTTAAAAAGTTTTATTCATTTAATTATATATTTGTTGTTTTGTAAAGTGACTGAAAATAATGATATTTGGATAATGACTGAAAAGGGTTTGGTTTGGCATACAATCAATCATTCAGTGAACAGACAGTTGTCAGTGAAAGAAGACTCCGATTGGCTAATCA